CAATGCGGACAAAATTAATTACTAACTAAGTGGAATACCGAAAACAATTTTCAGTATTTTCTAAAACGTGGAAACGATAACCACTGAGCGAGTGGGGTTACCACTTCTACTTACCTCCTCTCGCCAAGTGCTGGCGGCACATCATCTACGGATGTTTCTGCACGCCTTACTTCAGCCTAAAAACAAATTATTCAAAAAAAAGTCATAACTACTTGTATAGGCCATATAGAAATTCGGCCCGTGCTTAAAGACCTAGGCTCGTCGGTATTGCACGACCCATACTTAACCAATTGTAACCTGGTAGGCGAGTTGTCTGCGCACAACAGCATTTCGAATCCGTCACAAATTTGTAGTGGACGAAAGGCCCTGGAAATATAAACAAAAGAAATCGGTTTACTAACGGCTGGAGATGAAAAATATCTAAGACTAGGAAAAAAAGAAGGAAATTGAGATCTTAGCCAAGTCAGGGTCAAGTCTACAGCCGCCGTAGACAGATGTGAATGTTTACGTGAATTGGCCCCCTACGGAAGTTGAGATTCCGACAACTTGGAGATGACAACAAATACTGTTAACAATCGAATGCACAAAGTCAGTCCCACTAAATGACAAAAAGGTGTGAGAAACATTTATCAGTACTGCTTCATTTTTATGACTTCTTAAAACCTTCTCAACATGTTAAACATAGGATGCTGTTGCTTAGTTCTTTTTCCGGCTGAAAGAAAAGTTCAAGTTAACAGACTCAGAATACCTGGTTCGTAGGCCCTAAGGCCTGTGTTCCGGAAGTTCTGATAACTTACCAGTTACGTAAAGCTATTTCTTGTGCAAAATGTTTTTGACATACAGTCAATCTTTGGTGATTATGAAAGCTTAAAAATATAATACTTACTTGATTAAGAAGATGGGCTAGTTTATAGGGAACTAAAATCTACAGCGCCACTTGACAGAAAATGGATTTAAATAATCGCTCTCGGAACCGATATGTCTTCCGGGTTTTGAGAAACGCATCCATGCTTCCTTCTTATTATTAGGAGAAAGTTTAGTTATTTCGCAAGATTGAACATAAAATTTATTGTTAGTTACTTGGCCTCCTTGATGGACATTTTCAAAAGATTCAAATTATTTTTTTCCAGGCCGTGGCCACCACATCTCTTTCGGTATTGGGTCAATTCCAAACTTTCCAGGTCTCGCAAAAGGAAGAAGAAAATCTGCGATCATCAGTTACCTTTATTTTCTGGGACGGGGTGCTGCAAAGGGTTTCAAACCCTGACCTGTTCCTAACCAGACAAGTTCAGACCCTGTTGAAGACAGAGACGCCAGAAAAACATTACCCTGTCCAGCGGCACGTCCCTGTAAGTTTTACTCTTATTGAAAAGTAAGCGCGGGTCAGGAAAGAAAAGAGAGCTTGACAGTCGACATTTAATGCACGTAATATAATTAATATTATAAACATTCAGGCTAATCGACGCGTGCAAATCGTGGTAAACCGGGAGGCCGGCAAACCGTGGTAGAATTCATTCTCGTTGCTATTTCAATTAAGGCTTTAATGAACGACAACGAATAAATGTAACATCGGCCGCGAAAAAAGAGGACAAACTTACCGAAAAGTTACGAATTGGCTCTGCTTTACGGCAAGGCGAAATGAAGACTCTGCAACACAGCGACTACACCATGTGATGGTTTAGCGCCAATCTTTACATTCGATGACGTCCTGTGATGGTAATAGAAGACTCATCCCATCGATGTCAACTTGTTTTTATTGTCAAGACTTGCATTTGAAGAAATGCTCTACAAATAAGAAATGCAAAAGGTATTCTCGATGTCCTATTCGTTAAATAACAACTTTAATTACAACATATACTTACGTCGGTCAAAGTTGGACAATCTTCCACCATTGCTGGTGTCACAACGAAGCTGTATGTTTGTTTGCCAAAGCCCACATCTCATTTCCCATGGCCAATGAAGAAGTTTATCACGGAATTTCACGTAGGTGTGGCTGTGTCACCTCACAATCACACTGCCATTTCTTGATGCAAGATCTAAATGTTAAAAGATTAAATTTCCAAGGAAAATTTTTTTTTTTTTTTTTTTTTGCGATAGTTTATTTATTCCATCCAACAGAAAAGATTTATTTATAAAATTTATACAAACCCGCCATGCTGGAGAGCAAGCCGATCATTATACCCCTACTAGGAAATAAAAATAAACCGACTCTAACTAGCAGCTTGACTTTGCTTTGTTTTGGGTGTACCAGTGCGAAAACAATAACAAGCTTGCCCTGCAGCATGGCAGATTTTGTGCCATGTAACTGTTACTTTTTGCAAAAGGCTTATTAATATAAAACACACTTCAGGTAACTCACGCAATTGATCTTAACCTCAAGGGCCACTGATTAATTATTTAAGTTGTCTGATTCCGTCTTACTTATATACTGTGACATATTGTAGGCGGCTAATAGGAATCGGCCTACTTTTGTTCAGGTTTTCTTTTTCCTCCTCGTTAGGGACATACTTGCTCCCGTCTTTTTTTTCCTTTTGATTGTTCATTCGTTGTTTCAACTTCCGTTGATGTGGTAGTGGAGCAAGGCTCGAGTCTGCAGCCGTTATCGTGATTGTGGGACATTTTTCCCCAAACGATATTTTGATTGGATACTCAGTCTTATAATTTTTATCTTGATTTTCTCTGTAATTTATATATATGCCTTCTTTTAATGTTGTAACATAGGATATGTGATTATTTATCTTATGACTTAATAAAGATTCAATTCAATTCAAATTCAATTCAACAACTAAAGGAAAACAACAATTTATTGGTAAACTCTATTCAAAGTTTTACCAACTTGAAGTTACCGTTTCTTACTAAGACATGGAGGGAGTATTTTGACATATTCCTTATATTATTTAATATGGAGAATTGACACACAGTTCATACATTGGACAAACCATAGTTATATGCCCCGTATTATTCAGTGAAAGTTAATTAATAAAGACGACAATTGTAGACATGTTTGCTTACTTTGCAGTCTATTTTTTCCATTAAACATGTCTGGTAGCTCCAGGGCCAACTGATGATCGGTTTCGATGGCTATGTGGTCCGTTCGTCCACTGATTTTTGTTTCTCTGTCGATGAGACGAAATAAATCCTCTTAAAACGAGAGATTGAGAACATATTTTCTTTTTTGAATAGACCATGCATACATATTTTCTGATAATTTAAGGACCTGCTTCCTCAAATTAAATAATGGATTTTTTTGAGTCTCGAACATGTTCTAATTCTTAGTCAATTTATTTATAAACCAGCACTTTTGATAGGCTTGATGTTTTCTTTAGCTTCTATATAAAACAAGCGAACAAAATAACTTAAATTTATCCATTTATTTTTAAATTGCCAATGGCAAGTTAGAAAATTTACACACCAATTCATTTGTACTTCTATCCTATCCCCAAGTCCTAAGTTCTTTGCCGTTTCCCGGAGATCAGCAAATTACTACGAAAGCGAACGGAAACCACAGTATTAAAAAAGAGTAGTGTACTAAGCTCTTATGGGTTTATTACAAATCGAATAACACGAGGTTCTTTGGCAAGGCCAACTCAACTCCATTAGGTCGATTAGCATCTACTAACAAAAGGCCTGAGAGTACAAAACGCGACCAACGAGACTGATACAAAGAGATGTTGGTTATGGAAAGGTTTTGAATTACCAAAGAAAGTTCGTATGAAGTCTATGACCAGCAGCGTGTTTGATTACCCACGAGGACATCTCGTAGGGTAATGTTTGATACTGTAGAAATTTGAATGATATTTGTCCGTTCTCAATAAAACTGACTCGCCTTGAAACGCTCTTTTTTTTTTCTTTTTTTTTTTTGTTGCTTCCCTGCTATGGGACAGACGCACATGGTAGTTAGTCATGATCCTCTTCACCGATCGCGAATTTCCAATTTATTAAAGCTTTAGATATCGCGTATTCTAAGTGTATAATCAATCAATCAATCAATCAATTTATTTAACGTGGTCAGAACGCTTAGCTAAAAGCTAGTTTACAGGTACGCCACGAAACGAAAAGGAATGTAAGTCTTCTTTAAGTCTGTATGGTCCTAAACGAGCCATATATTATATATATAGGATACAGCGATTAAGGTATTGTGATGTTAATAATGACATTGGTACGATTGACTTACCAAACACTGTTTTAAGGCTTGTGCAGGCTTCTCTCTTCCCTTTTTACTTTGCATCTAAACTTGGTTTTCTTTCTGAAATTCTCGCCACCTTTCCCCTCTTCGTCAAAAAACACGACACAATCCAGTATTGCTTATTGAGGTCCTTGACCTTCTTCCGTTCCGGCGCGTTTGGCACGTTGGAAGACACGGTTCGCAAACTGACCTTGACCTAAGAGCTCCACATTGCAAGGTCAAAGTCTTGAGCGTCATTCAAGACGCGTGAACCCCCTTGCGATATTTCAATTGGTTTGTCACGCATTCCTCTCAATAACACTTGCGTTCAGCGGCTATTCGAGATCAGTTGAGGTGCGCAATTGCCGCTCAGATCAAAGAGAATTTGGAACCCACAGAGGCCAAACTAGAAAAACCAAAACCCGCATTGGATATCAAATCCGAAAAGCCGTTAGCATTCTTCGCGAAAACCGAAAACCTAATGCTAAATAATGGAAAATCCGCAAACCGCCATGAACACCAAAACCGAAAAACGGAAGTTTTTTGCCTCAAAAACCGAAAAACCGATTTAAAAATAGCCAAAACCGCAAAACCGAAAATCCCAGTGCCCCCCTCTTTTAGAGCAGGCAATGAGATAACCCCTGGGTTCCGTATGCAATGAATCAGTTCGTATTATCAGGTTTTCCTCTTCTAATTATGACTGCCGCATTTGCCAATTTAGTTTATTATGAAATTTCTTTTGTGCTCACAAACAATAGCCCTTTTATACAACTTAACATACGCCAACACTTGCTTTATTGCTACTCGAGGAGATTACTTTATATGTTTTGCCTACCTTGAAGCTCAATTTCGACAACTTTTTGCCTGCAGTATCCCTCATAATAATTCTGAGCCTCACAAGTGTAGTTTCCAAACTGTTCCATAGTCGACCTCTTGAGCATTAATATGCAGTGTAGCTCTTTGACTCTTGGTGTACCCTGCAGGCATTTGGCTCCAACTGGGCTACCCTGAGGATCATACCACTGAATATACTTGGTCCATTTCCTAGGATATAGCTGGTGGTCATTCCTTGGCCACGCTATGCAAGTCAAGTTAATATCTGCACCTACTCTTAATTTGCGGTTTGGCGGACTTGAGAAGATATCCATTTCAGGTATCACTAGACGGAAAAGTTAAAAAAAAATTAATTAAATGCGCAATCCTCGAGGTAACCTAAATCAATCATAACGATGATTCAATCAATAAATTCATTACAAAAATTTATTTGTGGATCAAGTATGTAACCGTAAGATTTGTAAACAAAAATGCAGTTGCTACTAACCAGTTTTACTATTGCATCTGTTGCTCATTTCCTCGGATGAAAGGTTGCTTATAGCACTGGTAACAAGAAACAGCATGAAGAAGTTGCCAGCGTTTCCAAGCCAATGTGTGTTTAGCATTCTGGTCATTGAATGTTCGTCCACTTCCTCATACAAAAGTTACCTAAATGTAAAATCGTCTGTTTGCTATGGCATGATGTAAAACGTCTTTTTTAAAACCAAAGCGGGCAGCAGGTGATGGAAACTTTTCTCTTCATCAACAGATTAATTGTCAAGTTATTACCAAACTTCCATTGGGAAAATGAGCCGAAGTGCAAAATGATAGGCGATGGAAAGGGTTAAACCTGCTTTTAAGGATGAGGCTTTATCATTATTACTATTATCAGACTTATTATCATTATTTTTACCATCATCATCATAATGACAGCTATCATTATTATTATTATTATTATTATTATTATTATAACTATTATTATCATCATTATTATTGTATGCATTTTGGCATATGAGTCAATTTTAAAGAGGCCGTGATAGCAGTTGCTATTTCTATTAACCGAGCAAAAATAATCCCATTATTTTCTCCAACTGGTCCAAAAAGCTTAAAAGAATAGAAGCATGAGACCTCATCTCAGAAAGTCGATGTTTTGTGACCAAGAAGATGCAATGAACAAAAAAGACAACCAGATGGCTTATGAGTTGTCTCACGTAAAATGTCATATCTTGTTTCCTACGCAAGCGATGCTCACGAAACCTGACCAGAATGTAAATTGAAGGTCTGAGTAAAGCCTCATGAAAACAGCAGGTGAGAATTTTTCATAAAAGACTGAAGGGAAAAACGTTAAAGAAATGAGAAAACCTCACTCACTTACCTTGTTATATTTTTATGATTGTTGTTGATTTTTTAATTTTATATTTTTGACAAAAAGTCATTTCCCACAGAATAATTTAAGTGAGTCTTGCAAAAGCTTAAGATGTTCTTCTTTTGAAGAAATGTGAAGTTTCTCACGGATCACTCAAATTGCCGAATCTCCATGAGTTTTGGCACTTAGAGACAGCTTTGGTGAGTTTTCGCGAGCATAAAGTATTTTAAAATTAAAAAAATTAATAAATAGTGAAAGTCATGATGAGAAAAAGTTCATTCAACCCACCTCAAGTCTTTTGCTTGCCACAGCAGACAAGACGAAATGTGAATATATTCAACTTTCTTACGTTGGAATAAACATTAAACTTTCCGTCGGTTTTATTGCCTTACAAAGAAACACTTCGAAAGACTCATTTTTCGAGGAGTTAACAAGAACGAACACGAATTTCAAAATGGCGGCTTTTTAACGTTTGCCTCATATTTAATCAAGAAATCGATCTCAATAAAATGGAGTTCAAAGAAACTCTGCATAAAAGTGGTGACAAATTTTCTGTCTTGATAAAGATGATTGAAAATAAACTTCTGGGATTGGTTGCTTCAATGCTAAAAAACGCTATAAATCGCCTTCGGCGTAAAGATGATAATTCATCGTAATGTTGACATCGTGAATATGAAAGCGATCTTTGTACTAATGAACACTACTTAAGCAATAGTGGAAATAAGGCCTAAAAAACTGCATAGGAATTTGAACCCATGACCTCTATCCATGCATCGATAACGATGCAATGCTCTACCAACTGAGCTTACAAGCAAACTGGGAGCTTGTCGTTATTTTGGTTCCGAACAAACCCATGAAGTGATGAATAAATGACTGTTATTCGCCAGCTGAGAGGTCCGTATTCGGAAAAACTGTGCCCGAGGTCTTTACTACCACCTTCGTCTTACGGCCTCGGGCCGTACTCAAGAAAGAGGGCACGTTTTTTTGCAATACGGACCGACCTAGGCTGGTGGATAGCATTGAACGAAATACTTGCAAAAGAACCAATGTAGATCTTTTTCGATCCAATGGTATACTTAGCAGTTATATTTCTACTTACTTGAATCCGCATGAGGCCATGCTTAGAGACCATGTTCATTAAACATGTAAGAGTGTGTGAAAAGGTTCTCAAGATTTCGCCGGTTTTAAAACGCAATAGGCACTTCTTCATAATTGCAACCCAAGTTTAAAATTTATGACTGGGAAAAAAAACATATAAATAATATGGCTTATCGTGCGTCATAAGGCATTTAAACAAGCCAGACTTCTCGGCGCAAGTCGTAATATTAGCACAGATGAATACATACGGTTTGCAAAATTTGATGAGACACCGAATTCAACTTTTATTTCTATAAGTTCAAAAATTTGTAAATAAAAAAAATAATCACGATCAAATAAAAATATATAATGGTCCTTTTTACAGATTTTACAGAGGAGCTAAGCTGTTTTGGCGAGAACTTTGCACATCAATATCGCCCAGCAGTTAGTTTTCAACATTCGGAGTTTCCGCTTGGTAGACACGCACATAAAGCAGAAAGAATGATCGAGGATTATGAGGGTTTTTTCTCCTAACCACGCTTTCCTTTCCGTCGGTTTTACTGCCCTACAAAGAAAAACTTCGAATGACTCACTCATTCAACGAGTTGACAAGAACGAACACGAATTTAAAAATGGCGGCTTTTAACATTTTCCTTATATCTATTTTCCTTAACAGTGATGATAAATATGCTCGTAAATGTGCTCATCAGGATCATTACAAATAAAGAGAAATAAGAGGGTCTCAATAGGTCGGGGTGATGGTTTTTACGGCTTACGGTTAAAAATTTTGGCCAATTCACGGCTCTCGGATATCTGGATCGGCTGCTTCAGTGCTAAAAACGGTCTAAATCGACTTCAGCGTAAAGGAGATGATTTATTTTAATACTGACATCGTTATCCATTTAATTGCATTTGCAAGCGATCTTTAAGATTGGTAAAATTCAACTTTGCTCAAAGTATGTTGATTCGCTTGAATATTTTTTTGATTATGTAGGTTCTTGCACCTGGTAAACATATAAACTCCACGAATCTCGATGACGCTGCAAGGTCCTCGCATTAAGATTAGTCAATGTAAAAACTAGCCACATCATGTAGAACAAATGGCTGTATTAGGCAATATGACGATTGCTGACAAAGTAGCTGTTAAAGCTCTAGGACAAGATGCAATCGCACTGTGATACCAAAGACTTCCTGTGTCTGTACTTGTCTGGTAATTTCCTGATGTATTTCACATAATTATGACACGGCAGTCTTAGCTATAGAGCTTATCACTGGTTACAAAGTTAATGAGTTCTGAACTCCTTAAGGGAGGCACAGGTTCCTGATATCATTAAGGAGCGGATCATACGTTACCATATTCTACCCTGATGGCTGGCCTCAGGTTCGACCTTGAACGATTATAAATTTTGTTTTGGTCCAGTCGCTCCAGTGCTTCCCCCAGCTCTCGCTCGGCAACCGTGAAGTTGGTGCCATGTCCATGTATATCTCTTAAGGCTTCCCTCTGCGGCTGACAAAACTCAGATACGCACAGTTAAACGAGAGTGTTTCCGAAGTGTGCGCGACTTCGATGCACAATGCTCTCCTGGTTAGGCATGAAAACAAACGTCCGTAACGTTTCACCTGATTGCGACCTATTTTAACAAAGAGGAGGCCAAATTAGTCCATGCCCACAAGAGTAAATGGTGGATCCGTCGGAGCGACTCGTGTGGCGCAATACAATGTATTATCTATACTCCAATAATGCTTCATGCATTCGAGGTTAACTCTTCAATCCTCTGAAATCCATTATTTCGAGTAGTTTCTCTTGTTTTAACGTTACTCTCTCATCTCATGGCATACTGATCTTCATTTCCTTTTAGAGATTAGATGAGATGTGTGGTGTGCTAGTCACTGGACTCGTACCATTCTCACGTTTCATTAATATTTCCGATTAAAAAAATATATATATGTATTTAAAAAAAACCAATTGCTCTAGTCGAGAGCAAGACCAGATTTCAGTTTTAGCATGAGATGTATAGTCTGCTAGTCACTTACTGGTAACATTTTATTAATACTTCGGGTTAAAAAAACAACTGCTTTAGTCGAGCACAAGACCCAATTTCAGTTTTAGCATAATCTATAAAAGTATCGTTGGCTTTCATAAATGATTGAGTTTTGAAGTTTTATTTTATATTTGCTTTCAGTTAACTCCAATAAAATGAATTAACAAAATAAATTTATAGAGCACCAGCACCCTTTCCACTTTTGGCCTAGATTAGGTTTCTGAAGATATATTGAGTCACATTCCAAAGCCTCATCACAAGAAAAATTTGAGATTCTGATTTGAGCTAGACCTAATCAAGGGTCAGCCTTGATAATTGAAAAAAATACCGTTTTCAACTCTCACATTTCCTCCATTTCATTGTTTAGACGAATTGATTGGATTTTTTTTCGAGTCCTCGATTTCTAAGTGTTATGTTAAGTGCTTTAACACAGCACGAACATTTTGCCAATTTTGATTTATCGAAAAAAAAAAAGCTCTATCCGCCACTTTAGGCGTTCATAGGGGTAGGAATAGTAGTAGAATATTTGCTCCAATTAACCATGGAAATAAATTATCAGGGATCCGTGAGTTAGCTTTCATTTGGATCGAGGCCTGTATCGTACAAAGTGGAAAAAAACTTAGAAGGTAACAGCATTATGATTGATTGGTTTGCATTCCAAGGATCGCAATCAGGAGTATCTCATGGCCAAGCTATTTTCAGTCTTTCCACGATTGGATCACACTGCAATCGGGTTAAATTCACTCAGGCATGGATAATTAAAGCATAATAGTCTCTCAACGTCCTGTGTCTTGTGTCTTGTGTCTTGACTCCTTCCGCTAAGAACACCTTTCGTCCTCCCTTTTTACCTAATTCTTAGAAAAACAAAGAACCCTTTCAATTCGTTTTATCGTTTTTCTTTCTTATCTTCCTGTTTCTTCTGGAATTTCATTACTTCATTCTGTATTTCTTTATAAAGTTTTTAGTTTCTACAGTATCCGCGTCAACAGTACTTCCCATCTTTGCATTTGCAGTATTTGTTTTGTCGTTTCCTTTATCTATGATCATTCATCTATTTTTCTTTTTTATTTCTTTTTGATTAGTCGTTTACATCGATACCCAAAATTCACGTGACTTTGCAACATGGTACTTTAAACCAAGTTCAGGACGCAAACGTCTCCACGAATTATTTAGAAGTTTGTTTACAGGAATCGACAACATTCGACGGCCTTCACGATAAACTTCAGTGATATGTTGAACATAGAAATTACAAAACAGTTCCCATACGGTCAGGAAGTCTATGATATTTATTTTCCTTTTTTCAGAACTGGATGACCTACGAACATTTCCACATCCTGGGAGACAAAGGATTCCTTGTCTGTAAAGTTTTCCGAAAACAAGGTACCATCTACAAGAAACAGTTACGCCTTATGTAAGGTATGTAATTCCAAAGTAATGATGCCCTCGACAAGGGAATGGTAAGGAGGCTCGAACCCGAAGAGTATAAGCCAGAACGGGGACGAAACCCATTTGGGTACGGTAAGTATACCCGCAGCTTCACAATTCGAACAGTCCGGGCCATAACCATTTCTGGATACTTGATGACGTCACCAACATGGATGTCGTAGTGGGACATCGAAGAAACTCACTCATTACTTTATTCGAGCCCTAGCGACTTAGTTCCCTACCCAAATCCCATGAAACCTTGCAAAATTACAGAAGACAAGCAATTACACACAACAAGCAAAGAACTGATGGTGGTCGCGATGACTAAAAGGAAAAATTCAGATGAAAAGTCGGGTGGAGGTCCATGTTGCGAAGGGCTCGATCGAGGAATAACCTCTCTTTAGTTGAGGTTTTCAGGTATGCAACATTTTTTTGGATTCCTAAAAAAAATCTTTTAAAAAACTAGAATAAATTTGCTTCCAATTTGTCAAAATTCCAATCGAGTGCACGAGGTTTTTGCTCGAGTGCACGAATGTTGAAAGTCTGTTAGTGTGCAAACTACCAGACGGATTCCTTTGTTCAGATCCATCGGAGTATCGTGTAAACCATAAATTTTAACCATACGTTGTGGCCGGCCAATTTAAAGTAAAAGGACAATTATTTATCGGACCTTTATAAGCCTACATTGTGAATTTCAGATCAAGCCAACAGCATGGATGAACACATTCAGTATCTCGAGACACTTTGTCGTCTTTGTGGCACAAATCTGCCACGGACCTGGGTCAGTGCTACAAACAAAGAATCTTTTACATCGGAGCTCTGGATGAAATTTCGAATCAATGTCGATCTTGACATTAGAGAGATTCATTCAGCCAAGGCGAATGCACAATAAAAAATAATTTCAGGAAACCACGGATCTAACACATAAATGTGATTATCCAGCGAGTAAGTTCTCCTTCGGGCAAACATAAAACAAAGAAGTATCACATCTTCAGGTATCGTATCCGGGAAATGTGCGATAAGAGCGGCATGAAGATGAAAATAAAGAAATCACATTGGTGGAAAGCCTTGCCGAAGTGTCTCTATTACAGCATTCCGGAAACAAAGGTTGGAGTTTAACTACACGAACTGATGAGAGTGAAATTTTCGTCTAAAACCACAAGGGACTTGTCTGTAATTGTGAAACTCGTTTAGAAACACCGCTCGTGCTTTCACATTTTGCAATGATTACCTAAACAAACTTTCTATACAGGGTGTTCAAATCAAAGGGTAATTGTAAAGGACATATTATTGCTGGCTAAAAGCTGTAGGACCGAATTTGTAGTGTTCTGAGACCTAGATTCTCCCGCGAATCGATCAATAGCGCGCAAAATACCTTGTATGATTCTCTTGCATTGAATTCGATCATGTGTATTCGTCCTAATATAGATTGTGACTACTTGATTTTATTTTATCCCACTCATGTATTTATTGGCGTTTATTTTCCAGGTATCATAATTTCAAGATCAAAGCTCCACGTGGAACACCGCTTGTTATTCAAAGTGAAGATGACAACACGTATGACTCGCATGCACTGGCTTGTCTTCTTCCACGAGAAATGGAACGCATTCCAGAGGCTCTACGAGAAGTCCAGATTTTCAGCAAATCGCAGAGAAAGACATACACTTTAGGAGATGTCAAAGGGCAGCAGATCGGCATGGTTCAGCACTTTCTAAACATACAGCTGCATGCTTTGCTTCGATGTGGCAAAATAACCAGGAATTGAAGGGTAAGTAACTGTTTTCTTGCTTTACTGTTACTTTTTCGTAAAGGCTTGATGGACTGAAATTGATAATGTCTATTTAAAAATCGGAGAGAAGCAAGATATTGTCTTTCCTCGACTTATACTGGAGAGAAATGAAATTGTCCCGATTCCGCGATCTTACACCTCACTCGTCCCAATTGTTATCAGTGCGCGTTATTTGGTTCAACCTTATTTAATTGGTTTTCTTGTAACCCAAAATAGGGAAATCAACGGAGAACGGACAGTAACATCGAGGCCAAGCTCTACCCAGAAGTTCTCCAGATACAAACAGGCTGGCGGAGGAGCTTTTATTCCTGTGACGCTCTCGGTGGAAGGACCACAGCGTTACAAAGAATTTGTGCTAGAAAGAATCCGCTTTACTCTTCCAGAATGCGAGAATGTCGAGGACATGCATGTTGAATGTTTGAAATAAACGAATATTTTTAATGGTATCTTACGTCAAGTCTTAATTAGCGAATTTTGTTTCAGCTTACTACCGCATTACAACATGGCCGCCACAAAAAAAAATCAGCTTCTTCTTGTTTCCAGCACCTCTCGGCCAAATTTGCTTTGTTTTGGTTTTGATCTCACCCAATCACAAAGCTCGAAACCGATATCCAGAAATGGTTATGGCCCGAACTGTCGAAAGATACCTACTAACCCGAGGAAACAATTAAGGACAGTGGAGATACCGGTCAATTAGTCTTCCCAACCCAGTCGTAGAAAAAAACATTGACTCCTTCGCAACCAGGGTTCCAATAGAGCGAATGGAATCTAGTACTAAGTTTAAAGTTTGCTTTTTTAAAGATTAGCGAGGCTGAGACATGGTATACGAGCGCGCTCGATCGCGAGGTGAGGCGAAGAAAATCCACCTGAAGACACGCTATTGTTTATGCTCTTCCGCCCCCTAACAGCGCTCATGAAAGGATTGACAATGAAATTTAGGAAGAACAAGTCACAAAAAATGACGTCACGCGGATTAAAGCGCCAATTCCCGGAAACTAAAGGCGCATATTCTTTGCCGCGCGCATCACACTCGTTCTCACGCTCCGCGCGCGCGCATTCGTGTATTGCACTTTGGCCCCGCCAAACCACCTGTTCAGCAGGCTAGACTATAGTTTGCATGAAAAATTTTTGAAAAATATTGCAACCCACTTAAGTAATTCTCAAAACGTTCTTTCGAGTTTATAATTTATGAGCTTCATAAAATCTTATTGTTCTCTTTCTACATTACATCAACCATTTCAGTGGCTTGCACATTGACGTTTTAGTACACCAACAATTAAATTAGCATTTATTGTGAAGTAGCGGTAAAAGTTGCCGTCTACTTTTTCTCTGACCAGTTCGGTCATGTTACCTGTAAGGAGAATTCTCTTAATTCAGTTGAATCAACTGAATTTCGTGTAAACGATGAAAAGGTGTTTACATAGTATACAACGCAGTGCATTTGTTCATTTTGAGTTGTTTAACTCCATGGCTTACGTATACCTATTTTGAAGTTGTGTAGAGGATTTTCGAAAGTCGAATCTGCGATTTTCATAACGCAAAGCCAGAGTTCGGAGAATGCTCCTTTAGTTGAAGATGGTTACATCGTCTATCTCGTTTCTAAACGGCTGAGAAAAGGATGCCCTGTATTTTTCCTTTTTCAGAGGAGCAAGTACGAGAAGTTTGAATAAAGTTAGGTTTCGGAAGCAAGTTAACGAAAATGGGCGAAGAACGAAGATTTTAATCAGTCCGAGCTGTAATTAGCACTAATAGTACCTCGAGTGTTATTGGAAAAACAAACAAAACAAAGAAACTTTGTCCTTGTTAGGTGTGCATTAATTAAACATTAAAAACGTGTTTATACTTCTCCCTGAATGGCATTTCATGTGGTTTATTACTATTAATTCACATTAAAACGTTTGTAAGTTGCGATCTACAATACACGATGGCATCCAAGAATTTTCACAAATTACTAAAAGAAAAAAGTGACAAGGTAACTCTAAAGCGGTTAATAGCGAGCTCACTGCAATTTTAAAATATTGCGGCAAGCTGGTTACAGCCAGTCCACTGCAATATAGAACGTTTTAGCTAGTTCAGAATTACCCTTAATAATTTCCCTCCTATTAGAAAGGACCGTTTCCACATCCCTCAGAAACTTAAACTGAATCAAATGGAATTGACAGAAAAATTTGCTTTCCCTCACTTTTTAAAAACTTCGACGTTAGTCCTTTTTTTAGCATATTTCTAGGCTATCATGAAAAAATTACTCGGTTCAGTTAAGATAAATGCAGTTTTCAGTTAATTCAATGCAGAAAAGAGTTAACTCAGTGCAAAAAAAGTAACAAACCAGACTTTGTGATTGGTCAATGATCAAAGAAACTCACAAATAGCCAATCAAATGTAAGCCTTGGATATCGCAAAATTTGCGAGCAAAACAATGGCCGGCATTTTAGGTAGGTTTTCATTCGCCACCGCAACAACAATACAGCAGCTGAAAAACAGCTCTAACAACGAAAAAACTGTAAAATGCATTGCTTTTTGGTTGTTGGTTTGGAAAAATTGGTGTTTAGAGAGGGGAAATGCCAAGGAAATCAAAATTACGAGCTGATCCAGCTTTACAATTTGCTCAAGCTATTCTACGTCGAAATTAAAAACAAACATGATTAAACCTCGCAAACGACGATTCCATTCCATCGAAAGTGATTTGGACACAGACCGAAAAATTCCTTGAACTGTCTAGTCGGACTTGTTTTGTGCTTTATAGATGTGAAAATACCTATCTATATTACTGTTTTGATCGTACGCGGTTGTTTTGACCGAATACACAAGCTTGAATAAATTATTTTTGCACTCGATGGGCGCGCTTTGCTTCTGCGTCATTATGATAATATTATTGTTTATGATATCTTGGAACATTATGATAATATTAATATTATTATTTGCGTATTTTTCAAGTATGTTATTAATACGAAATCACATGATTTTTCTCGCGCAGTTTGGAATAAATAAGTTTGAAAAAATTTACTCGTACTTAGTTATTCCAAATTGCACTCGAAATCATGTAATTACCTATGCTAATTATCTCAGAATGTTGTAAAGCTGCCCCAAATTTTATTTTTCGATTTTGTTAGCCCTTGATAAGATCTATTTTGCTTGCATTGTCAATGGCAAGAACATTATAACATCTTGAACGAATACAATATTTTTTGCTTTGTTTTTGTTTTTGTTTTTTAATTTAAAAGGGCGACAATAAGGGTAGGAAATAAATGAGAGAAATGTAGGCTTGGTTGCATTTGGGTTAGTTTTGTGAGTTCGGCTACTTTGTTTGTTTTGTGGGTGATCAGAAGACGTTTAGTGAGTTCAACCATGCGGATCAGGTTGTAAGATACAGGAAGAACGAATTTTTAGTGACTAAACGCCATTGAAGCCTTTATATGCAATACCAAGAAAGCAGGTGTAAAAATGGAATTCAGAAAATAAGTTATCAATTCTAAATGTGTCATTCTTTTACACATGAATTACCATCCTAATCGAGTATGTTAATAATTAGTGTATAAGGAGGATAAGTAACAACAATATTTAAAAGGCATTAAATGAACACCTGTTCCTTCCTAGCTTACTGTGAGAGCAGGAACTAGGGGTGACCTCTCAGTTAACGTTCATCGATGTTTAACCTGCTGATTAGTATTTCCACTTGCAGTACATTCAAGTAAAAGGGTTGCAATTCTCTCTCGTCTTCGGATTTACGGTCATTACACTCATCACGGACGGTCATTACCCCCCGATCTCGCTGCGTTCCGTCGGTCGAAACTATTTTCTCGTTTCACCCTCTCGCTCAGTTACTCCAAAAGTTAACAATTATTCACCTCCATCGGTGGCTAGTGGTGGATATTTATCGAGTCGCGAATCCCGTGTGAGTTTCTCGGAGGTGAGGAGCAAATATTCGTAGTTCGATTAGCCAATCAGGGTGCGCCTCCAACGTTATCCACTGTATCAGTATTAATCAAAATTGCAATTCCCTTGACTGTGGTTGGTTTTCAAAAAGTTTTATTTCACTCTTATTCACTTGTCAAGTTGTTATCGGACAGTTCAATAAGGCAATCATATTGAAAGTTGTAGTTTAAATTAACCAATCACAACCGTTGTTTCAATCGCCGTTAAAATAGTGTACAGACTCAGTTTGGCTATTCTTGGACTCTACTCAGTCCTGTTACCACTACGTATACTAACTCAATCATTGCTGACACTTCCAACGACTTATAAAAAAAATCAGTTCACTCTTTGGAGATACGTTCGATTGTCAAATTTTATTTAAGAACATATATCAATACACATGTACTCTTTGAAATAAAAAAAATTATCCTGAGCAATTAGGCTTGATCTTCATTTCGGCTTTGGTGGCTTTATATTGGGGCTCATCGGGCTCATTTTGACTCCACTGTGCCCATCTTAAACCGTTTTTTTGTTGGTATATACCGTTAAGGTTGGAGTTACCACAATGATCTAGACCAATGGGATACCACCAAGCTCCAAACTCCTTAGCACATTTGGACTGCGAGTCTTTGTCGGATGTAAAAAATGGAGCATTGTTGTTGTAATCAAAAGAATCACTAGCGTTTCCTACAGGGCAAGAAGAAAAGAAAAAAAGAATTTAAAAAATAAACAGAAAGATAATGGTATTTATTAAACGCTCAATTTCAGTCAGCTGGATAGAGGCTCGTATCACAATTAATTTTTTAAGACAAAATAAACAATCTAGTTGCTGTTCAGTCAATTTAATGAGCCAAACACTGCGAAATGATTCAGATTTCATTGCAATTCGACTGTCATCGCTTTCTGTATAAGGCTTATTCTCCAAGCCTAAAAATCTAGCTGATTAATTGATTCATTTTTTCAGACTTTGTATGAATGACAATGATAATCACC